AATCGCAGCCGATGCTTCCAAATGTTGGTGCTTCAGTGCATCCATCGGACATGGCTTATACTAAGGATATGGGAGATGCTTATGAGTCGTTGGTTAATGTGAAGGATGAGGCGTCTGAGCGTTTCGATGTTTGTCTGGATGAGTTTCAGAGGATTGGGAAGACAGAGCAGGAGACTAGGCACTCAATGGGTACACTTGCGAGCTCGGAAAACGGGTTTCAATCAGTTTGCGGGAAAACAGAGGAAGGGGGTAGTATTGTGGAACCGGGAAAAGAGGCAGCACTAGAGGATAGGAAAACGACCGTGCCAAAGCCAAAAGTGCCGTTTCATATACCAACTATTAGGAGGCCTCAAGACGAGTATAACATACTAGTTAATAATTCAAACCAACCTTCTGAGCATGTCTGGTTGCGGAGGAGTGATGATGGTCAGAAGTTTATTCATCCTTTGGTTAGTTTCCTTGACAGGGTATATTGTCTGCTTTAATTTTTCTAATAGCTTCATGGCCAACTGCTTTCATAGTTTGTGAAGAAATGATACACTTTGATCGGGTATTTGTTAGACTTTCTTCATAGTAGTATCATTCAGATTGTATATGTATCTTGAAACTATGCAGTTGACGCGCTTAATTCCATATAATTAGACTCATCTGACATATCATTTCGGCACCCACTAATCTGGGTATCATTGCATGAATTCAAAAGCTGAAGATCTATGGAGTTCGATTGAAATTGTATTTTAAAACAGGAAGGACTTTGTTTTGAAATGCCAATGCTTTTCTGGCATTTGCCATTCGGTAGTTTTGTTTGTCTGAAATGGGTTTTCATAGTTATGTTGTATCTCCTGTAAGCAATGTGAAATTTGAGTATCTTGCTTATGTTTTATTGTTTGTGCTTGATTTTTTTTAAAAAAAGTCTCTGTTCTTTTTTGTCTTCGTCTTATTCTTCTATCTGTACTGAATAATACTTAATAATTTCAAGGAGAAACGCTCTGCCTTGGATTTTGTTGATAAAGATTGTGGGAACTTCGAGCCAATAAAGCCTCCCTCAATAGATTGTATCCCTTTCAAGGTAGTGAAGGATGTCAAGGATCTGAAGGAGTTGGCTGCCAAGCTGCGTGCTGTTAAAGAATTTGCGGTAACACGTTTGGTATTCATTCAAACTTGACTAGAACTTTTCTACATGACCTGAATGACCTTTTTGTCTTGCCTTCAAATATCTAGGTGGATCTAGAACACAATCAATATTTTCAAGGATTGACTTGCCTGATGCAAATCTCAACCAGGACTGAAGATTTTGTGATAGACACTCTGAAGCTGCGTGTACATGTTGGGCCCTATTTAAGGGAAGCTTTCAAGGATCCTGCCAAGAGAAAGGTCTGATTTTCATGATTACTTTTTTGTCTCAATCAACTGATTTGCCTTACTCTCTTGACCGTATTTATGGTTAATTAGGTCATGCATGGAGCAGATCGAGATGTGCTGTGGCTTCAAAGGGATTTTGGCATTTACATTTGTAATTTATTTGACACTGGCCAGGTTTGCTTAGAAAGATCTGAATGTTCAATTTTGAGATCTATCCTGTGAATAATTGTCAATCTTAAAAAGATTAACATGTATGTGATGATGTTTTGGCTGAAGAAAAGCAATGTAATGGTGAAATGAATTTTCAGTTTTAAGTTATTTATATCCGTTTATGCTAGCAGTATCTCTGCATGCATATGAAGAAAGAAAATGTATAACTGGTTTTTGGGCAATCTGATAAATCAGCTTCTTAATCTTTTATCAATAGTCGTAATGGTTTATTTCTTAAACTAATTGTCCAAGAAAAGTTTGTGCTTCACGAAACAGTAGTTGGAGTATTTTGTTTTATGTAGACTAAGTTAGGACCTCCTGTTAAACCACTTAGAGGTAATAAAATTTGATCATTTTGTTTCATTGTTGAAGAGTGTGTGCGAATCACATCTTCATGAAACTTATTCCAGATATGTCATTGTCTCATTGATTGAGCCTTTGCTTGCTTGTCTGATCTAGACCAATGGAATTATGTGCCCTAGTTATAGAGCTGCCTTTTGAAAGTGGTAATTTATCTACATCAATGTTTTGAGACTCATTGCTGCTATTTGCATAGTTTCCTTACTAGCCAAATATGCTTAGGAGCAGTTAAAATATTATGTTTCTATTTTGAAGGAACCTAATGGAATTCTTTGTTTAGCATTGAATGCATTTAGAACGAGCTGATATGTTCTGCAACAGTAGAACTGATGAAATGATGCCTGTGAAGTTCTCTTGCAGTTGATCCTCCTTGACCTACTTTCCTTACTTACCATCTCAGCTATTTTTAACTTTTTTTAACCTTATTGTGATGTATGACCATTGCATTTTTATTTCATTCCTCAGGCCTCAAGAGTGTTAAACAACAACAACAACAACAACAACAAGCCTTTATCCCACTAGGTGGGGTCGGCTACATGAATTGCAAGACGCCATTGTGCTCTATCATTTATCAAGCTTTTAGGAATGTAAACAAATAGTATGTATGCTTTTTCCTTTCATAGCTTTTTCAGAATACAATGCCTTTCAATTGTCTTCACTCAGATGTTTTGCTGATTTTTGTAGCATGATTATTCCATGTTAATCTCACCTACATTTTTTAATATTGATGAGTCAACTTTTTGCGGATACCAGCATGCAGATTCGAGACTACGTCCTCTTCCTAATCAGATGCTTAGGTGCAATTATATTTTGGACTTCTTGAATATGATCATTTCTTGATTCTTGTCCTTGTGCTCCTTTAGTTTCTTATTCCTTTTCTTTTTTTCTTTTTCCATTTTTTAAGGTTGCCACTGTCACTATAGTCAAGTGATGTTCACCTGAAATTTGCAGAAGACGGAAAATTTCTGTCATTATTTAAACTAGAACTGACCACATTTCTTTATCATATAGCCATATATTGCATTATAGCTTTTATTCTGTAGTCAGAGCACCCTCAGGATGTTCGAGTGATCTTGTTACCTAAGCTTGATTGAAATGTTAACGGCATCTTACAGTGCCCTTTGTAGAAAAGTAGCTGCACCTAAGCAAACTAGCCCCATGCATTTCTGATTTCAACTGCGCAATTTGTCTATTAACGTATAAATCTCTCCCTAACCTGGAAAAATATCATTGGTCTCTGCTAACTTCGTTTCTCATGTCAGATTCTAAGCGTATGTTATTGTTTGACAATGACTAGTAAACTTCCCCTAGCTAATTTTATCACTGCCATCTAATGAAGTGATATTCTGATGATAGATATGCCAGAAAAGATACTCACTTCCTGCTGTATATATACGATTTAATGGGAATGAATTTATTTGGATTATCTAAAGACTCTCAAAATTCTGATAATCCTTTGCTGGAGGTAACTTGTGAATTTCAAGAAAGTCTTGCTTTGGGGATGCTATTGCTTAATATTATTGAAAAAACTTCATTTCGTTGAGCATCAGTATTGCATACTTCTCACGGAGCCAGCAGTTTATTCCTATTGGTTTCAAAATTTATATCTATTGGGTATTTCTATTTCTAGACCTTGAATGAGTATTTTCTTTAAGCTTTAGCAACTTAAATTTGATGCTAGTTCTCCAATAATTTATGATCATTCCTATTATCTATCAAGTTATATGCTTGTTTGCTGTGAAATTGAGATTAAACATGTTAGATGAACATTGCTGTAGGCAATTTCATCCTAAAAGTTTAGGGATAGTATTAATCTGTGTGTCTTATGCGCCTCTTTTCTAAAACCCCTGTGGGCTTGAAGCATAGATAAAATATCATTCCACTTCCACTATTATTGTTCTTTTTAAATGAATGGAACTGCAAGGACCTGAATTTCTAATTGAGTGGCTCAATACCATGTGATTGACCATTTATTCCTAAAAAAGCTCAAGCTGTTATTAGAAAGCTTAAGTATGCTTTTGATATGTGTGTGTATTTTTTGGCCGTATATATCTATCCATAACAAGTATGTTCCTGTCAATTCTGTATTATATAGGTTAGACTAGAAAGGGTGATTGTTTGACCTTTTTGTTCTGTAAAGTCAGGCATTGTTCATATCCTGGGTCCTAAATCTTTAACCTGATAGAAAATTAACACAAGACAGTATCTGTGATTTGACAATTAATAAAGTCTGTTACCTTGAGGTTTCTATCATTAACAGGTGTACAGGCTCAGTTATGATGTCTTCATGCAGCTCTATGAGAAAGAGCTTCTGACTGAGAACTCCTTCCTATTCATATATGGGTTTGTTACCTTCTTTCAAATGTCAATCTTTCATTAAGTAGACAGTGTTCTCAACTTTCAATATTTACTTATTTTATCTTTTCTATGTCCTTTTTTTTCTGGGGTATGAAAATTTAATTTTGTCCTGTAAATTTTGTGTTTGCATTTAATGCCTGCCAAGAGTTGTAAATCGAAGTCCAATTACTGTTTTCTATCCAGGTTGCAAGGGGCTGGTTTTAATGCTCAGCAATTGGCAGTTGTATCAGTAGGTTTCTCTAGAATTTTTTTTTTTTTTTATTGCTATCACCCATTTGTGTTATTTTTATCAGTTGCCCACTGCTAGTTTAGTCACACTACGCTCATTGCATGGCTTCAGGGGCTTTATGAATGGCGGGATATTGTTGCTCATGCAGAGGATGAGAGCACTGCCTATGTATTGCCAAATAAAACTCTTCCGGAAATAGGTAAATCAAATTGTTTAAACTAGTGTCATCTTTTCTGCTGAGGTAGTACTTCAGTTATGTTGTACGTGTCAACCTTTTTTTTTTTTTCAATCTGTGTAAAAGCTAAGCAGATACCTGTCACGAAAGGCAAACTACAAAAATTGATATAGTCAAAGCACCCATATGTTGAGTGCAACAATGATAGCATTGTCAGCATCATTTTACATTCTATGCAAAATGCTTCCACATTTGAAGAAGTTGCACGAAAATTGAAAGAGGGACGTGTCACAACTGTGAGTATCATTTAACGTCTGACATTAGATAGAGTGGGCTGCAGTTTTGCTCCGCTATGTGATGGCTCTTTATTGTATTTATAATTAGCCATTGGTGGTTTGGGTTTGAGGGGATAGGATCTAAATTTTCTTGGCTTTTTCAGTGAGAGTTTGCGACACAGCTTTACATCAAGCTTGATTTATTCAACATATTTTTTTTGACAAACAAATTATTGGAATCTTGATTTGTATTTTGGCTTTTATGTACTTGATGTGTGCTCTTATTTAGTGACACGACTACATATACAAGGACTTAAAATGTGAATGTAACCTCAACTTTTTTTCTCTTCGCTTTGTCCTTTAGTGAATAAAATAAAGAAAAATTGGAGAGTGGTGAAGGATAAACATAGGTGCAGTTTCTTATTTGACGAGTGTAGGCTGTTCAATTATATGACATTGTGTGATTTTCGAGAAATGTATGGTTCTCCATCAACCTATATGATTCTTGTGTTTAGACTGAAAAACTATACATTTGTTATGTTTTGGTTGAAGAATTTGGTAGTAAGAATATAAAGAAGTAAAAGAACTGTATTTTAAGTGTGCTACATTAACTCACTGTTCTAATTGCATCAAGGTGGTCATAGTCATTTATCGTGCTCTGTTTAGTTTGCAACTAGTACTAAGATAGAAAATGAAAATAACTGGCCATTATTTGGTTATAATATCTGGTTTGTGTTTGCTTATTGAACTGTGCAATGCTTGCAGGCATTTGGGGATATAGCTGATAAATACAGAACCGAACCTCCCTTACCTAAAATGCCTAACTCAAATATCACAAATGCGAGAAAACAAAGTGTTGGAGATGAAAGTGCCAAATCACCACTCTCTTTTGGCCAACTTAAATTTGAATCAAATAGTCCTACTTCAGAATTTTCTCAGGGCAGTCTCAATATTTCACTACAGAGGGCAACTAATACTGGCATTTCCTCTACTGCAAAGATTGTGAAAACTCTATTTTTTGTCTCAATATTTTGTCCTCTAAGAAGGAACACCAATTTAACAGTTAATTATCAATGGGTAGGGTTATGATCCAAATGGTCAAGTGCTAAAAAAGCCTAGCAGTGCTTTTATTGCACCACCGGAAATTCAACTTCAAAAGGGAAGCCCAATTCTGACAAGGTAATCTTTCCTCTGTGTATAATATCTAAGGTTGTTTCTTTCTTGTAGGATGTTATCCCCTGATTTTTCTTTCGGTTTTCACTTATATTTTGCTTTTTTCCCCGGCTATGAAAGGAGGGTTAGCAAAAGATCCTGTGCGTGCATAATATGGTGAGAATAATTGGCACCTCCCACATCCACCGGCACACACAGCCCTAGCCACGCTTGGGGGTGGATCATCAAAAAATGGGCACCCTGATTGCCTTCCTTATGAACTTGACAAAGTTTAATCATATCCCAATCCTGTTGCATTAGAACACGAACACCTTTCACCAAATCCCATAAGAAATGAGCCTTACTGCATAATTGGTTCACTTGTATGATGGCTTCCATGGAATCTATGAAGATGCAGATTCTCCTGGAAACTTTGTCTCTAGAAATCTGCAGCATATTGCATGCCCCAAAGCTCGACCTACATTTTGCTGTTTAATGAGGCGTCAGCCATTTGAAGATTAGACTAACTTTCAAATTCTAGTTTTTGGTTGGTTGTGAATAGAGCCCAGTGGCATTGTGTGATAATTGTAGTCCACCCCACTTAACGGGATAAGACTTGTTATTATATGTCTTTGTCTATTTCTAAGCTGCATTTGGAATTTGATACCCTTTGACATTTGTTATTTTCCAGAGAAAGGAAGAGATCAAGCTAAATCAGATCAGATTCTCTGTCAATCTAACTCCTCGTCCATTTTTGGGTGGCAATGACAAGTCAAGACAGATCATTGAAACTCCTAGCATGGCTCTTAGAACTTCTGTGGCCCAAAAACATGCGAACGATCCAGAGAGTATGACATGCCACAACCAAGAAAACGCAAATCAGCTCAAGGAGAAAAGTTTTGCGTCCAATATTTTGGTTAAAGAGAAAGGAGATGAGCCAATGTCTCTCTTAGAATTATCGTTAAACTTCGAAAGATGCTTCCAGACAAACAATCAAAATAAACAGTCCTAGAAAACTTGAGAGCTCAATGGCTTATTGCAATCGATGCCACATTTGATTATGAAGAGAAAAGAAAACAGGTTATGTTTGAAGACCATGCAGAGAAAGCATCTTGCTATGGTGATGTTGGGATTACACTGGTCCTCATCAATGCGATTGAGGGAGGCAGTTCCATCTTGAGAGAGAGTCAAATTGCAATTTTACGTTGGTATTATTGAAAATAGATTTAGGCTATGTACAGGTGAATGGAAAAGGCAAAACGATGAACGGATCAAATTGAGCAAAAAGAAATTCATATTGGATCACTTACTTGGTTTCTTTAAGATGCCTGGTTACAATTCGATATGAGCTTTGCATGAGTAGTAACGTATTATTGGACCCCGTCCGTGTATGTAACTACTTATCTGTTTTTGTTTTGGTGAATGTAGCTGCTTATCTTTCTTTTGGTAGCTGTATCAAGGGCTATTGTTCTTCCCCCAAGAAGCTGGTTCGGTAGGATGTGCAATGTGTAGTTAAGATTCTCCCAATATTCTTTTGGTGTGTGACGTAATAGCTCTAGCTAACTCGTGATGCCTTTGACATGGGTGGTCTATTGACTGACAAACTTGGATCCAGTTTTGATACAAATTTACTACAAAGCTATTACTTTTTCCTCAAAAAATGAATTTAGTGGAGTTTGCAACAGCTCTTCTAAAGTCTTTATGATGTGGCATTGATATTCGATATAACATGTTGATTGGATCCTGAGCCAAAAAAAAAAAAGTGAAAATAAAAATAGTAAAAATATTAGGTGCACTTATGGGAAAACTCTGATTTGTTTTTAAATTAGAAAAAAATGAAAATTAAAATATATTGAAGTTACTGTGAATAAATAATAAATAAATAGTAAAAATAACAGCAATAGTTCGTTTTATTTTTAAATAATATATTCATTCTCACAAAACCCTTACATCCTTTGAGTGTAAAAGATTAATCCCGACCAGAATTCGTGGCTGCTTGACCCCTCGTTAGCTCAGATGGACTTTGTTATATAAAAAAAAAAAATAACTACGTGGAAATGCCTCCCGGATGTGAAAAAAAATTAAAATGTTCGCAAAACAAATGAGCTTATCTAAATTCCCCAAAAAATAAAGGACCTTATCGTAAACCATCTATCATGGAAAATTGAAGCAGGACATCTAATTCCCCTTAGGCCACAATCGTCATATATCAACTTGGATAAATTTGCCCGCTGGAGGAAAAAAAAAAAATTGTGCTAAAAAAATATAGATTAAATTTTTAAAAATTTAAAAGTGTGACCTATTTACATTAATATATAAGAAATTTATCATTGATATATAAAAAATTTTTATCATTAAAAATTTAAAAATTTATAAAGGATTTATCATTAATATATAACGATATATCATTGACAAATATAATAAATTGATTATAATACAAAACATAATAAATGTTGTATTGTTTGCTTAATTTAGTCTTTAATATTAGTTAAATCTGCAAAAGCCCTAGCAGTAGTAGCAGTTTGTTATTATCCAATTTCTTCATGCATCAATCTCAGGAAAAATCTCAAGTTCAGATGTGGACATAAAAATAAAATATTAGGATTTATTTGATTTATGTTTGAAAAAATATTTTTTATTTTTAGAAATAAAAAAACGTTTGAATAACTGTTTTGCAATTAAATATTTTTAAAATTATTCTCTTTTTGTTTTAAAAAATAAAAATGAAACTATCTTGAAGCTATTATCATTTTTTTTATTTTAAAACATATTACATTTGATTATTGTAAATTACCTTCAATTATGATTAATCACTATTGTAATTCATCACCATTAACCATTGATGATTAGTCAACTATCATTATCACCCATTTTTAACTCTAATATCATTTTCAAATTAACATAATCAAACATATTTTAATTTTGTTTGTTTTAAAAGCAATTTTTAAAAATTGATTTACATGATGAATTTTAGAAATTAAAAAAAAACAGAGCAAAACTAAACAAGCACTTAGTACCTTCCTTTCTCTTATTTACATGAGAACTAAATACAAATCCATTTGTATTTACAAGTATTCTCACTTGATGTGTGTGTATGCTGTTTTAAAAAGTTGTTTATCACTTTCTCACTTGTTGCTCATCTCCGTCTTGCTTATCTTTTTCAGAGATGATCCTGACACGAAAGAGATGTTAATGTATGAAGAAGATGCTTAGTCATGTGATAAAATTACACCTAAGTCCTATAAAGAGAGAATTTATTATAAAAAAAATTTCATAAAATTTATAAAATACTCTCAAATTTTAAATCATCCACATTTATAACTTGATAAAAAACATTTATAATTAAGCAACAGGCATTTATAAGTTATTATTGTAAGTTGTCATTTTTTTTATAAATTATAAATGTATAAAATTTAAGACTTGAAAGTATTTTATGAATTTTATATAATTTTTTAGTTAAAAAAGTCTCTTTTATGAAATCTGGGCGTAAATGTTCTTAGTTATATCTCATGCATTCTGTTCAGCCACTTGCTATAGCTTCTGCATGCAACGCCCCCTTGTCCAAAATACTCACCCATTGTGTTACCAAAAAAAATAAAAAAAGAATCACATTTATTATCTCTACCTCATCTAAAATTATTTAACCAGCTCCATGAAAAATTCTTTTTCCTTTCAAATTAAGCATAACTAGGTGGTTTTCTCATTTTATGTGACCTGATTTTTATCTTGAATGATGCTAGCTTACAGGTTCAATCCTACTTTACCTCTCTGTAATCAAGAAATAGATCGTACTATTTATAAGTATTATTAATATGACCTGATGTTAATATGTTTACGGATACCGATTGATGTTAAATTTAATAGAAACTATTAAGTTACTGGACTTTATTGGTTTCTAAAATCAACATATCAAAGAATCAGTTCAATGAACGAAAACAAATTGCGTGAATTAATAACTAATTTTCTTAAATATTCTTCTATAACGCAAAACAGATCATCTAAAACGCGTCATATATATATATATATATATAGAAGACAATGAAAAAATGATTGAAAGTGATAAAAAAAAAAGTTCAATATACCCACACACGAAAAAAAGATCCTTGACTTATGAAGGGATTTTGCGAAAATTGTTCATCGCTCTAAAGAAATTAATCACATATCACGTGCATTTTTAGTTTGTTAAAAGTAATTAAATATTTTGAATTTTTTAAATATATATTTTTTAATTTTAATATTAAAATCTTATAAATACGAATTTAATTATCATGATTAGTTTAAGCAGACTTGTAAGTTACAAATCAATAGTTTATTATTTTGGCTCTTGGCCTCGGACAAGAAAGAAAGAAGAAAGGTTCTTAGTCTCAAGTGCTTGTGTCAGGGAAACGTAAAATTGAAACAAATGAAATTCAAAAATCAAATCAGTATTCAACAGAGTGGATGAAACCAGAGGGCTTTGTGGACACGTGCCATCCCGTGGTTACACCGTTCGCAACCGCGTGCCGCTTGTGACTGCCACGTGATGGATGACTCTAAGCTACGTACCCTAGCGCCGTGAAAGCTGCTCATTCTTTGATTTTTCTTTTCGTCCATTCCGTCTCATGATCTCTCTCTCTTTTCACACGCAACACCATATTTCCTGATTAAGAGCGATGAAAGGTTTGGGTTTTATTTCATTTGGGTGAAAATCAGGTCCAACCAGGCCAGTTCCTTTGGCAAATTACAAACTTATTCAAGTTAAAATGAATTCATTTTAAATGGTTAAAGGATATTTTTATTTTTTAATTTTACATAAAATTAAATTTTTATCTTTAATTTTTATAAAATATCTTTTCAATCATTTAATCATAAAATCATTGGCTTCATCAGACAAATTTTTTATATTAAACTTTTAAATATTAACAAAATATTCTTAAAGGTTAATATATTAAGTTTATTTTTTAAAAAATAATAATGATTAGTATAAAAAATAATTATCTGAAATTAGTAACATTAGAATTTGATAACTAAAAAAATACTTTAACTTATAAAATCAAGACACTAACTTGAAATTTCATATGAAGTTAGATGACAAAAACGTACTCTATCTTTAAAAAAAATCACAAATTTGGGTTGACTTGATTTAGATTAATCCAGCAATGTTGGATATTTTTTAAATATTTTTTTCCATAATTTTTTAATTTTTTGAAGAATTAGCTTTAAATTCATGTTCGCTTTCCAAAATAAATATTGCAATGTGAAAAATCGTACTTGTACTCATAAATAACAAAATTTAAAATTATTAATTCTAGTGAATGAAAAGGTTATTGATAGAAATATTGAAATTGCAGTTTATTTGATTTGGATTCTAAAAGTACAAGTAATTTAGTGTGTATTTAATTTTTAATTTATCAAAAGTTTATCTGCTGAAATTTATATGACAAAAGTCAGTTTAATAAAGTTAGTTCCGATAACAAAATTTAAATTTAGATATTTTTTTTAAAAGTCAATTTAATAAATTAAAAGTTATTTAAATTAATGATAATTTATACTTTTTAAATGTACTTTTAAATATGTAATGATAAAAAAGGATACTGATTTATGATAATTGATAATCTTTATTGTATATATAATATATTAGAAATGTTTAAAAGGTGTAGAAAAATAAAATAACATAAATTTAATATGTTAAATAATAAGAATAAAAAATGTAAATTTTAATATTAGAAAAAATTAAAACATAATAAGGGTATCTTTTATCACTTATAAAAATAGGTATAATTCAATTTTCATTTACAATTTCAAATCCATCAAAAATAGAGCTGACAAATTTACATTTCAACTACATCACAACCCATATTTAAAAAATTATTTTACTCACTTAAAAATTATTCAAATAACATTTAACATTTCAAAAGTTAAAAAGTTAATTTCAAACGTTAAATCTTAATTATTGAAGCACCCCCATAATGTTACACGGTATCCCTCGTGTTCTAGTTATGAGATAAAATTAATTAATTTCATGACTTTTAATGAATAACCATTAATAATTTTAATTTATAAAAAATATTTGACTTTTAATTTTTCCTTCATTCCAATTAATTATCACAATAAAATTCACGTGGAAATTATAATTTCAAACAATTATAATGTAAAATTTTAAAAAGACTAAGTATTTATCCTTTTATCTCTATAAATATGTTAAAAAAAACTAAATCTCACACGTTGATAAGAAATTGTTATTTAGTTAAAAGCACGTTAGACCACAATAATTTTTTATGTTCCTAATAATGTCATAATTAATATGATAGTGATAAGTAAAGCGTGTAATTGATAATTAATATGTCTTCATTTTTTCAAGACATTGAGGCAAAATTGTCCTTTTAGTTGAATTTATCATGACAGTCTTATATTTACAAATAAGTCAAGTTCATAAAAAAATACTTTCTCCATCCTAAATTATAAACATTTTTAAAAAAGATTTAATGTTTTAAAACATGAGATACTTTGATAAAAATAAAGTTTTATTAATGATAATTTTTCAACATTACCTTTTTTTCATGTATTCTCTCTCTTCATTATTTGTTCATTAGTGGAAAATTAATAAAGTGTATTTTTAAAAGCTTATATTTTTGTCTTAAAAAAAGTAAGATTATAAAGTGTATTTAATAAGCTTTATTAATAAATAAAATTTTATTTAAAAATACCTTATAATTTAAAACGAAAGGAGTATTATACATGTAGGAACAAAGAGAGCACATCTTTACTTTGTATTTATAGCCAAACAAGACTTTAAAACCTTGTCCAACAATCGGATTAGATGAAGTACTGATTTTGTGTCAAACAAAGTAAGAGATGATTGAGGAGAGTTAGCAGTGAGGATTGAATTTAGAAAAAAGAGCTACTCTTCCATGATATAATGAATTTAAATTTCTGCCAACAAATGCATTTGTATTTAATGTTTAGTTGTACTTTAAATATGATTGATTGTCATTAATAGGAGGACAATTGTGCATAATAAAAAGACAGAAAAGTTAATAAATACTCCCTTTATTCTTATGTATATATATAAAAAAACTACTATTTGTTATTTTTTTATTTATAAATAAAATTATATATTTCAATAAACATTCATTCTAATTTTTATAAATTATTCATCATGAACTCATAATTTTCACTCACGATAAACAATCAACGGGGACTTATTTTGATTAAATATAAAGGTATTTTAGTTTAATTTTTCATTTCCAAACACAACTGTTATTGTTAAATGATTTTTTTAAAACTACACGATATAATTATTTTTTTATATATAGCAATGGAGGGAGTATAAATATAAAGGGTAGAGGTACATTTTTTTTTCTTAAAGTATACTCCAATAGCTTCTCAATACTTCAAACTATTTGATATAGTATTTTTGTTCTTAAAATAACTAAAACAGTCACCTTGATGCTAAATAATAGACATTAACCGTTAATATGATGAAAGAGAAGGTAGCTTGACTATTTAACGGACATTTGTAAATATTTGATGTTAGAATAAAAAATGTTATATTTTAATTATTTTAGAGGTGGCAATTATGTATTAAATAATGTAGGATATTGGATGTTTCTTGAATAATACTTCTAAAACCCTATACACACACATCATCCTTTTTTTTTTTTTAAATACGGTGCTATTGATTGAACATTGTAAAGACAAGAGATATATTAGATATGGTTTAGTTGAATAGGCGTTGTTCAGTTTTAAACACTTTTTATCGATCTACAAGAAGTTAAAAGACGAAAATTAAACACAAGTGTGTACCAGGTTGAGACTTGAGAATGAGCATGAAAAAAATATTGCAAAACACATTGAAGACTTTTAATTGGGGTTGTTGTGTTGCGGGTAGCTGGCATGTTGCCCCCAAATCAATTCATTTATCCCCACAGTTTTCCATCCTATTGGACTGAAAAACATTAAGAAAAATGATAATAAAATCTCATGAGAATAAATCAACGATAATTAAGTTCTGATAAAATTTTATGCAAAATAAATTTTAAATATTAATTTAAATAGTTATAAACTGAAATTTGAATTGCAAACTTTTGTTATATTTATAATTTAAAACATGCTATTAATAAACAATCCCCTGTATAACTCACTCTCTCCAATCTTTATTATAAAACATATCTAATTAGTTCACGAAAATAGAGAGAAGTGGTTAAGACATTAAGTTATTAATTTTATCTAAAAATTAAGTAAATTTTTAATTTTACCTCTATTTAAATAGAAAATTTTCAAATGTCTATCACATTCACTCTCATGATTAATGAGTTTAAATAAAAATAAAATTAAAAAATATAATTAATATTCCATCAAGTGTCATATATTAAAAACTAAAATATCTTTCTATAAAATTTTAAATAAAAATAAGATTAAAAAATATAATTAATATTCTATCAAGTATCATATATTAAAAACTAAAATATCTTTCTATAAAATATCCTATAAAAGGGATTGGAGGTAATATATTAAAGATTAATATTTTTGAAAACGTACGGCCTATAATCAGCGACGGATCCGGGGACAAGCAACTGTGAATTTTTTTTTTTGGGATAAACTTTCTTACTTTTTATTTGGAAAAAAAAATGAAAAATCTAATTTTGGCCCCCCACTTCCATAAATTTTTTTATTCTCCCATGAGTTATGCTCCCCATCCGTCATTGTCTATAAAAGAATGTATAAAAAACGACATATTGATATTAGATTAATGTATAATGACCCCATTTATTCTGCTGGTTAAGTTCCCATCCACAGGCTGGTTAAAAAAAAAAAAAAATGTTCCCGTCCACAGGAAAGTTCTGTACAGTGCGTTTCCTCCAATGCCAAGCGCTTCCTGCTTTTCCATGCACTCGACAACTTGTGAATGCGATTTCGGACTAATTCGCCTCTCCTTCATTTTGCCACCTAATGGCTTCTTTCTTACTTATTTTGCTTGCTCAAGTTTAAATCCTTTAAAAACATTTAAAAAACTTTGTCCTTGCAAAGTATTAACAAGTATCAAGTTTGCATTAGCTAATGTTGATGCTACATAATGATATTGTACAGTCTAGATAACTGGCTTAATCAAAATTAAGGATTGTTGTTGTAATGTGCATAAGAATAATAATCATGCATGCCCAGTAAATATTCGTGAGAATGACATTCAAGGGCCTCAGAAGACAAAAATTACATTTAAATACATTAGAATTTTAAATGCTAGGAGGATGTAGAAACAATCGACAAAAAATACTAAAAGGAATTAAGCTTTTATTTGCCACTTGAAGAATTCACGGTCCTTATCAGCCATTATCTCCCTTGCAAGGTCTTCATTTATCATTATCCCACAAGAATTTGGTAGAAAAAATTAAGTGCATGATTTTTCTTAATATAAAATAAAAATAAAATCAGAATTAATAAAGTAAGAAAAATCAAGAGAATAGGCCACTTGTCCCTGTTAGCCCATGAACATAAGTTGTAACACCCAGAAAGCACTGACACTTGTCGTCTGCCATGCAGGAGTACAAAACTCAGTGTTTCATTTAATCACGCTTATTTTTTAATAATTAATTATAGTTCTCTTCAGAAGCACCTTGATTTGCTCTTTCCTTCTCCACCTACAGAACCATCGGACCCGAGTTGGCGTTTTGGCAGCTTCATCACTGACTCACCGATTTAACCCGCAAAACAGTGGGTCGCTGTAACCGCCAGTTTCCATGCAATCTAGGTACGGGAGGCAGAAAAATACTCCTTTTCCTTAAAAAAAAAAACGTTTTTTTTCCCTTCAAGGATTTCTTAGAACTCGCAACGTTGTCAACTTAAACATTATGCCATATTGCCATTATGCAATGCCATATGGCCCCCGGTTTTAGTCCTGAACCTTTGATTTTTCTTCCCTTCTCTCTCTGTCTTTCTGTTTCTTCTCTTTCTTCTTTCTATATAGACAGATATCATCTCCACTTTCTTCCTTAACTTCCCTATCATCCCCCGTAATCTCTCTTATGATCTTCGTACGCGCACTTCACTGCATTTTCAGTTTTATACGAATACGAAATTCACGCTCTTCAGTCAACCGCACTTATTTCATTTGCACTCCTGATTAGGCCATATTTCTTCTTCAACCCATGTGAAAGTCACGATCTCGACAACGACTAACCTTCCGGCCTTTGGGTGTGGAGTTTTATTTCTTGTACGTGGTGTTCTGAATCCATTAGTCGAAGCGAAGATCTTCGTGTCTGCGTGAATCATGTTTGGGTGAAAGGACAGAGGTCATCTGCATCAATTCAGGTTCTGAGATTCGGTTGATCTGTAATAATTTAACTGTGAAAATGGAGGCGGGTTTGGTGGAGCAGGGAAGAGACAGAGCAGCTGGGCATGTGAACAAGGTCGGTTATGTGAAGAGATTCATCGGTAAGAAGAGGAAGCCTTACAGAAGGGTTAGGCGTCCCACGGTTTCAAAGGCGCTTCAGGAGCTTTTTGTGTCATGCCGAGACACATTTAAAGGTCCTGGCACCGTTCCTTCTTCTCAAGATGTTCAGAAACTATGCCACATTCTAGGTATTTAACTTTCTATTTATGTTACTTCTAGCCTGACATGTTTGGACCCATGAAAAAAATATCTTCTGTACAATTATGTGATATCCATTGGTTTACTCTGATCACTCTTCTCTATGGGATTGTCATCTCCCTTCCCTTACTAAACCAGAAATTAAGCTACCTGCCCATTGTGTTCTTGAGATGAAACGGCCTACCTTGCGAGAGCCGTATACTCGATCTATTTTCCTAGCTCCCTCCTATTTCTTACATTTCAATTATTTTTCCTCTAGATACTTCTCTTGATTAATGTCGTTTTGATGCTGTCATCAGATGCCGTGGAGCCAGAAGATTTTGGACTGAGCAGTGACTTGCAATTCTTCAAGCCAGGGAATGTGTTCAAAGAGAATCCAAGGGTCACATACACAACCATTTACCAGTGCGATAATTTCTCTGTAAGTCTTGCAAGCTTGGCATGTTGAATCATATATAGAATGAGCTGGTTTAGATCAATCCTAACCCGATGATTATGAAAATACATAGAAAAAAAAAAAGTATCTAGGCATATCTATTTCTTCATATTTCAACTTCTATGAATTTTCTTTCTTGCTACAGCTGATAAAAATGGTTGTTTTGGACGATATATATATATATATATATATAGAAATCTTTTTTCTTTTTTAGCATTTATTAGCGGATTTGCTCTTTATTTTCTTTTTTCTTTCTATAGTAGAGATAGTCGCACATCAATTTAATCTGTGAATATTTTTATTTACTCTTCTTTTGCATTTACAGCTCTGCATCTTCTTCCTGCCTGCAACGGGGGTGATTCCCCTCCATAACCACCCGGGAATGACTGTGTTCAGCAAGCTTCTGCTCGGAAAAATGCACATTAAATCCTACGACTTGGTTGATCCTATTCCTGAGACATGTGAGAATACGCCTCGACAATCTGAATGTGGGTATTCAAGTGACATCTCTCTCTCTGTCTGTCTCTGTGTGTGTGAACACACACGCACACATATAAAACTATGGGTTTTCATGTACTGGTCTTCTCGATCCGAGATCTAAACCGTTTGTTTGTTTTGTATCTGCAGTGAAGTTGGCCAAGTTAAAAGCTGACAAGGTCTTCAGTCCACCTTGTGAGACTTCAGTGTTGTACCCGACCACAGGAGGTAACATTCATGAATTCACAGCCGTCACTCCGTGTGCAGTGCTTGACGTGCTTGGCCCTCCTTATTCTAAACAAGATGGCCGCGACTGCTCCTATTACAGAGATCATCCTTGCGCTGCCTTTTCAAGTCAGTAATACTGTCCCATAGATTCTAGTCTATTCTTTTTTGATGATATATATATATATATATATATATCTGACTGGTATGGTACTGGTTTTTTATTTCTCTTGTAGATGGAGAGAACAAGGCGGTGGCGAAAGAGGAAAATACTTGTTATAGATGGTTGGAAGAGATTGAGATGCCAGAGAATTCTCAGATGGATGGGATTGAATACTTGGGACCCCCAATTATTGAACCTGCTAGTTAAATCATTTCAAAGCTATGCAGGAAGAATCCTAACCTGCTAGTTCTCTGTTGAGCGATCTTCATATATGTTTGGTGATAGAGATAATATTTTATTACGAATTTAGAGATGCATTCAAGCTTTGGTCTTCGTGAATCGCATCATGTCACCACCCTTGTGGGATCTATACTCTCAGATGTACATATCAACAGATCTCCTTCGCTTTAAGGAATTAGAATCTACTAGGCCACCACTTGTGTCAAAAGCTCTGATCTTTTAATTCCTAATTGCGAGCACACAACATTTTGAAACATTTTATATAATACATTAAACCCAGGGACTCGAGTTTGTTAATCTGTTAATACTTGGCTTCAGCTAGATAATGTCCAAAATTGACTTGTTGGAGGGAATCATTTTAGGTGTAAATGGGTGCAGCAAGAAATAAAGTGGAACACGTTGTGTGTGTGTGTGTGTGTGTGTGATATATATTTTTGGAGTCAAGATCGGAAATTGACTTCTATGGTGATGCGTTACGTTCTGCAGAATTTGTTGCTGAGGGCTAATTGGCTGGAAAAGAGAAGTGAAGTGGGGGTTAAAGCAGTGAAGAAAAATAGGGTAGATAACGTTCCAATAGGGCAAAGTCAATGATGATGGAGACGAGGTTAACTGTTAAAAGCTTGAAAATATCTGAGAGATAAGTAAATGTCAATAGTCAAATACCTTCTTCCATGAATGAAACGGTCCAGGATTCTCTCGCTGGTCGGTTCATGGCCCATCGGAATTTGCTTTTCTTGTATTTTAATGTAACATTGATTAATGTAGCGTTAATGGTATTCTTTTTTTGATGTAAAAGCGCTAATCGTATTCTGCTTACTCTTTTCTTCCATCGTCATACTCCCTCTTTTTTTTTTTATTATAAAAAAAAAATTGCCAGCTTAAAAAGTATTTCTTTTTTTTCTAAAAGCAAAAAGGTATTTCCAGTTTTATGTTATAAAATTTTAAAAGTGTTAATTGATATTTTTATATTTACATTTTATCTCTTTATTAAATACAAACAATTATAGAGAAGTAGGTCATGTAAGTTAATAACATAGTAGTAGTAAAAAATTTTAACATGTTACATTTTAATTTGTGAGCTAAAATCTTAAATTGCAAATAAAAAGACGTAGAGTGCCTTTTTTTTTCGGGTGAATTATGCACTTGCGATGTCTATCTTTAATAGGAGGTTACATGCAAATAATAAAAATATTTATATTTTTTAATTGTAAATAAACTGAAAAATGTTATATATATAAAAGTGTTAACATTGCGTGATCTAATATCAAGTACACTGAATTATTGGTTTTTGTTTTTAATCTGAGTGAATTAGTGTATTTTATTGGATATGGGCTAAGTGGGAACCCATTAATAAATTAAATCAAATGAAAATTTAAATAAATCAATATATTATAATCATTGCCATAAAATATAAAAATTTAAATAGAGCTATGGCTCCTCTCAGGTTTTGCGTAACTTTTTTAATTATTTAAAATTTATAATTTATATACACAATTTATAGAGCTTTGCACAATTTTGTTTCTATTCCTTCCATATTTCTTCGAGTGTTTAAATAAAGTTTGGATGTTTTTAATTGCATTTTTCGAAAAATAATTTCATTTCATTGATACTCAACTGTGGGAATGTTGGCCGAGCTAGTCCAGATTGTTTTTTCCAATATCAACTCTGCATGACTCAAATCACCTTTTGGGCCAATGCCTCATTCCAGACTTCACATTTGCGCTTGAAGAGGTCCGTAAACGAAAAATGCATGAAATAATGCCCTCCCCGGCTCGAGTTAGGAACTCTATAAAGAAGATAATTATGAAGCCCATAGGGTTTTCATTCGGCCTGTTAAGTGGGAAGCCCACTATACGAGCCCATATGATGTTTAATATCAATTAGACTTCGGACATGCCATGAAACGATGTAATAAGCCATACATGACTTTAGCGTGGTGAAAATATCATTGACATATTATTAAATTATAAAATTAAAACTATTTCATATTAATTTGTTATTTAATTTTCATTCATGTATTATTTTATCACTCACTATCATGATCACTCAAGAAATCATATAAAATGAACTTCAATTACCAAGAGTTTCAAATTTGAACCTGGGAAAATTCCTCGGAAAATGATTCGCTCTTGAAGCCATGAAGGCAAAAGGCAAAAAGAAACACACGAGACAGGACCAATTTTTTTACCCTCTTCGTAACGAATTCTCCATTCATTCTCTTTGTCGTATTACTTTCTTTTCTTTATTCTAAAATATTTTTTAAATTTTTACTTTTAAAATAATCAAGTTTAACAGTTTACTTGCTCGGTTGACGTCACGATGCTAGTGCCACTTCTCGAGGTGGGTTATAAACCAAACAATTTTAAATAAAATTCATGTACTAAATTTTATATTTAATATATTTTATTTAATTAAATAAAGGCATGTAAATTTTAATTATGTTAACAATATTGATAACAAGAATTTTATACAATAAATAATCTCTATAACATACATATGACTTGATGTAATTGGAAACAAGTATTATATAAAATAAGTATGTAAATTTTTTTCATTTTAAACTTCTCAAAAAACATCCCAAAGCGAGTACTAGAAATTAATTGCTCGAGGTTCTGGGATTCCATTTATAGAGGTGACATCTCCCAACAAGTTGATTGCCCTATAATGCATCAACAAGAAATACACTTAAAACTGTAATAAAAGCTGAATGCGCACGTGAACCTCACGTGTAGACAAATCACTGCACCTAAAGATGTGTTCATATCAGACTAAGGTTTTGCACTTTTGCCGTTAAATTTTCCCAAATAAGTGTCTGGGAGGAATGACACTTCTTCATCAAACCAGCACCGACAAAATAATCCCTTCTTTTCTTTTCGGGTCTAACCTAAAGTAGAAAAATAATCTGGTCAGATTTATTTGCACATTTATCGTGATTAGAACTACAATACATAATAGTGTCTTGATGGAGGGAGAGAAAAGGAAAAGAACAAGAAAAAGAAAAGCATTCAATTGACGAGTTAAGATTTTTGGCAGGTTGTAATTTTCATTTTATATCTTCTGTAATGCTATCACAAAGATCCAACTTATACACTCCACCAGAACTGATCCCCAAAACCCCACCAAGAGAATTGAGTCCGTGATGATTTATAACATAATTTAAAATTTTAATTAATCTTGAGAAAGCAGTAAGATATTACTTCATATTTTAGCCATAGTTTTCGGAACACTCATCATTTTGTGGAAGGCTGGAAGCTTCCCTTTCGCCAACTTGTTTGTCTTTGATGCGAATTTCTCTGCTCTTCTGGGGAGAACGAACACGTACTTGACTCTATTAATGGGCATTACCCCCAAGTGAAAGAGAACCAAATAAATAAATAAAGGCGCCAAGAGCAAGAAATATAAAATGTGGAGCCATCCCTTAAAGTGAAGCGACAGAAAGATATGGCTTAGTGATCCCAGAAAGCGATAGTCCATGTTTAGTTGTTTACAGTCTCACACCCTGAGCCAAACCCACCTTCTGTTAGTTTCCTTTGAAATCATGAAAAAAATAAAGTGACAAAGTAAGCTGATTAACGAAATCTGCTGCTGGACTCCACATGTTCATGTCAAAGATGTCATCTCGAGGAATAAAGGGTCCCCCTTCCCTCCCGAATCTTCCTTTTTCTTTTCCTGCGGAAACTATTTTCTCTGCAAAGCAAAACAATTTCCCGGGAAATTAATGGAATACCAAGTTCGAGACTTTTCTGACTGGCAATGGTGAAATGTCGGTTTGGTTAGATGGTCCAGTAATCCAGTTCGTGCCTTTTGGCCCTATCTTTTCTTCCAACCCCTGGAGTGCTGACACCTGGGAAACTTGTTTCTTTGCGTCAGTAAGATTAGATTCCAGACTTGGTATTCGTAGGTTGTTTGATTATGGTACTCTTTCTTCAAACTGTAAACAGGAGCACAAAGAGACATGTTTGTACAGTTTTGACTTTTTGAATCTGGGTTGTTTTTACTACTCACTCACTGTGCTGTGTGCTCCAGAAAAGAAGAAGAATGCTTTAAGTTAGGATGAAGGTGGCTTGGAATAAGAGAAAACACTCTGCTTTAGGCCCTTACAAGCTGGGAAGAACCGTATTTGAACTCAGCACTCAAACTGATTTGTTCATCAACTCTGTTGAGGTAATTTCAACTAACTTATCCTGAACACGTTACGCGCTTGTTGGTTTTCCATAAAGTATGTTATTGCTTTGAGCCAATCATCAACCTTAGAGAGTTTTGGCCTTGGATTAACTCAAGACAAGTACTTTACTAAACCTACCTTGTTGCAATTGCAGGGTTTCTGCTCGTGTGATCTTGGAAAACCATGCTTGAATTTTGAGAGTATATGTGATATTGAGAATATATTTCCTCAAGCACTTTCTAGAATACCACGAAACTCTAGATCATTTCCTGCGCACGCCCTACTAATGGCAGAAAAAATCCCTCCTTTGAACCTTCTGATTTTTGTGACACTTTTACTTTCTATAAATCATTCAGAGCAACTGCAATCCTCGATGCCCCAGACTCTTCTAAGAATCAAACGGCTTTTGAATTTTCCTTCTGCTTTAAGTAGCTGGAATAGCAGCACAGACTTCTGCAGCCCTGACTCAGATTCTTCTCTTACTGTTGTATGCTATGAAGATGCCATCACCCAGCTTCATATAATAGGTGAAAGGATAGCTTCGCCGCTTCCTAAAAATTTCTCAATAGATTCCTTTGTCGCAACGCTAGCCAGGCTTCCCCATTTGAAAGTCCTCACACTGGTTTCTCTTGGTATCTGGGGTCCACTTCCTGGTAAGATTGCTCGATTGTCATCACTGGAAATAGTTAATATGAGTTCAAATTTTCTATATGGTGTCATCCCTCAGGAGCTTTCGTTACTGTCAAATCTTCAGACACTCATTCTTGATGACAACAAGTTTTCTGGTGAGCTTCCAGATTGGCTTGATTCTCTTCCAGCCTTAACTGTGTTAAGTTTGAAAAATAATTTGTTCAATGGGTCTGTGCCTGATTCCTTGGGTAGCTTGGAAAATTTGAGAATTCTTTCACTTTCTCATAATCACTTCTATGGTGTAGTACCCGATTTAAGGCATTTGACAAATCTTCAAGTGCTGGAATTGGATGATAATGCTTTTGGACCTCTGTTTCCTCGACTTGGTGCCAAGTTGGTTGCTCTTGTACTGA